GAAGTACAAATCTGTAAACTTTATGCCAAAAAAAAAATGAAAAAGCGCCAAAGATGGCGATGTCGAAAACATGCTTGCGTACTCACTAAATTTAATTCTTGTTTTATTTTTATTTATTTTTATATTAGTATTTGTTTTCTGTATTTTATTTTTATTTCAAATTTGGTAAGGAATTCGGATGTAATGCTCAGGCAAATCTTGTTTACTTTATTTTACTCCATAACATATATTTTTTCCAGATTTTTTTGATGACTTTTTTTTTTTTTTTTTTTTTTCCACGTTTGGCCCGAACGGCCGAACGCATCCCCAAGGGGTCCCATACGTTCGGGCGTTCGAGTTCGGGCGTTCGGCCCGTCCCGAACGCCGATTACCCTGTATATATATATATCGTCACAAATATATATATATATATTATATAAGTCCCGGACCCGAACATTTTCGGACATGGAACCGGACCCGTGGCCGGTAGTTTCCGGACGTCCAGAATTCCGGACATTTCCCGACCTCCGGACATGGGGGGACCCGGACGGTCCGGAAGTCTGGACAGGTCCGGAAATGTCCGGACCATTAAAAAAAAAAAAAAAAAAAAAAAAATCTGAAAAAAAAGTATGTTACGCGGAATAACAATGCAAACCACTTTTGCCTCAGAGTCATGTCAGAATTCCTAACCGAACTTGAGTTAAAAGTCAAAAACTATAATAAGCTTAAAAAAAGACTTTAAAAACTAATAAAAGGTAATGAATTAGTACTAATTAAAAAATTGGGGTTGTCTTATAAATTACTATAGAGAGAGAGCATGTCCAGACCCCCCAAAAAAGTATAAACGGGCCTGAAAAACCCCCATAACAATTTTGGGGGCTTGACTCGTCAATGGGGAAGGGTCCTCGACCCATTTTTTTTTATTTTTTTTTCTCGAAATTTGTCAGATCCGGACCTTCCGGACCGGACATCTGGATTCCGGACTGAATCCAGACCGTCTGGATGGCGGTCCGGACGTCCGGATCGTAGCCATGTTATATATATAATATTATATATTATATATATATATTTATATATATATAGTCAAACAAAGTTGCCCGATAAACTGTAGGCAAAGAGGGAGTAGAGGACAACAAACGAGGGGCTGTGACAAACTGTTTCATTCTTTTCGAATTGGGTAAATAATTTCGATATGACCTTGAAAGAAAACTTATTCAATTGTTGATGAGCATTAGTGTTCCGCTCTGTGGGCTTCACCGATGATGTCCTGCCCTTAGACGGGACCACATACCTTCTGTGAGGGACGGCAGGCCCGTTTGTTATGGCATTTCAAAATGTAAGGGACGCCAGGCCTGTTTCCTGACATTAGAAAATATAAGGGCCGCCAGTCCCATTTCCTGGCATTTCGAAATATAAGGGACAACAGGCCCGATTCCCATTCTCTGTTTTTTTAAGCGGAGAAAAAACAAGAAAGTGAGAATTTTTTTTTTCCTAACCACTAGTACCTTTGTCGTCTGGTTTCGACAAGTGTAAGTCTAGTCCCAAACTTTTAGGAGGCTGGGCCCAACAACGGCTGCCGTTGATAAATCTGATCGCCGGCCGTCGTCTCGTTTCGGCCTCCTGAAAGATCGGAGGCCTGCTATTTCCCGAACCGACAAAGGTACTAGGCTAAATTTTAAAGCCTAACCAATTCAAATACCTGTCGGATCTGGGTGGGATGACCTTTCAGGCCTTTTTTTTATTGTCATTACAGTATTATGGAGAATCCCGTAGCAGCCACATGCGTGCTCCAGCCTCCAACGACGGAACATGCGCAAGTTGCACCTACTAGCAGTTGTGATACCTGCTACAGCAGATGCGCGATACCGGCCACGAGTCAGCCGGAAGCATGAGGACCGAGCTTGAGGACGGAGCTCCTTCCATGGGCCAGTCATTGTGCCTCTCCTCCGGTCCCCTCCTCCTATGAAAATTACCAGTCTCTGCTCAGTGCCACTTGCGGGGACCCACGACGTATCTCTAGGTGGTGGGCACCAAACTTGCCAGGAAGGTACATGAGGCCAATGGGGATTGAACCCAAGATGGTGCGACAGAGGGGAAGGGGGAACAGCTGTGCTGCGGGGGGTCACCTTTGCTGGGAACCGTATGCCCTTGAGGGTGAGGGGGTGACCACTTAGGGGTGTTGTCCTGAACTGGGGCCAATTAGGAGAAGGGTGGCTCCATTGAGCAGGGGCAGTTCAAGGGCAAGGGTTTTGTTTTTCCCTCTTAAGGAAGCGGGGAACATCAGAGGCAGTGTAGTGAAACTCTTTCATCTCATGGAGATTCCGTAATTGCCAGCAAGGGTCTCCTTCCATAGCAGAAGAGGTCACTTTCCTCTCCACTTTCCGTTTTGCTGTGTAGTGAACTCTCCCATAGTACTATGCGGTAACCATCAGAGATCTTCTAAGTTCTTTGCGCAGTGAAGCTTTGTAGAATTCCTATGAATCTTCAGGAATAGGGAATATTCAGCAACCCATCAGAGATCTTGCTGAAACGGTTGTATACAGTGGTGAGGTTGCACAACCTTGTAATCTGGCTTGATGGGGGCGTGTGGCCTTGTAGAGAAATCTGGGGGACTGTTTTTTTGGGGAGGCAGTGTCAGTGGGCGACGGGGGCTGAAGCTGGGGCGACGCTAGCAGGAGCCGGGCCGAGATGGCACATCCCTGTAACCCAGCTCATTGGGGGTGCGAGCCCTGGTAGAGAGATCCGGCTTTTCTGAGATGGCAGTGGGGCGGAGAATTTGATTGGGTTTGTGCGGCTATCTACCTAGTAGGGTTAGCGATCACTGTAGTGCTATTTCAATAATTCAGTGAGTTGTTCGTAAGTTTCTGGTTCTGGATTATCACAGCTTTTGCTGGAATTGCTCAGTGGGCTTTACTCTAGTATGATCAGTAGCGGCTCAAGACCTTTCCTGATATTTGGGCTCTGAATTACCTGATTACTTTTAGCCGAAGCCGGGGAATGGCCCCGGTACCACAATATGTTTCTGTACTCTCCTGAGGGACACTGGGCCCGGTTCCCAGTACATGTCGCTCTCCACGAATAGATTGGAGCAGCGTCCCCCCCCCCCCCCCCCCAACAAAAAAAAAAACCACAAAGTGTCAAGGCTAGCCGACCTTGAGGTATGAAGGGTCAACTGTTCTAGAATTAGCACATGATACTATGACGATAATTCTAAAATCAGCAGGGGCCTTGGGCTAGATTGGCATAATTCAGACCCTTACAGAAACTGTCTTAAACCACCAGTACTTGGCCCAGCTACCGGCCACGGAAAAAAATAGAGTAGAAATGTTCGTAGTTGGATGAATTTGGGCGCTCCTGTAGTGGCCCGTACGTTTCCTAAAATCCTGGCGTGGGCACGACTTTCAGAAGTACTGGCCGTTTAAACGACCAGCCCCTCCGCCACGAAAAACCTCGGGGGACTGGTAGCATATTTTCATGAGGGCTACTCGTACCACAATATGGAGAACCGGCACAATGACAACAATGGAAAAACGCGAAACTGCCGCCGCCATTTTTTTCATGGTTGAAACATTTTTTTCAGTTCTTTTTTAAATATTTTTCCTGCAAAGATAACGACCAAATCTAGAGGCCCTCCAATTTTCATGATTTTTAGCACATTCTTCTGAGCATGAAAAACCACTGAAGTTCGGATACTTTTTTCGTTGGCCCAAACATCAAAGCGTGTCAAAAATGGAAAACGCACGGAACTGGCACGGTGACTAGGCTACCAGAGTGGCCCGGGGCCATGTCCCACTAGCAGCGTTGAGCTACATCAACGCTGAGCATTCAATCACATGTGACAGGGTGCGCCCTCGAAGATGCTAGATGTCCCTCAGGAAATGCCTTTTCTTGTTTTCAAGGAAAAAAAAATTAATTTCTTTTCCTGTTTTTTTATTATTATTGGAAACCAGAGTAAAATGCCTTTTCCTCAAATAGAACGCTCCCTACCCGAGCGCCCTTCCGTTGAGCGAGCTCTCATTTTTTTCTCTTGGTAGCCAGCTCAACGACGATTTCTCACGGAACGACATAATGAGCCTGGCTTCTGACGTATCATAGTACCGTACGATCCGAAGCCCGATTCTGCAAACGGAGAAAGGAGTAGTATGTACACACGAGTTGTTGAATTTGGCCGCGTTTAGGGGATAGGTGCATTGAAGAGGAAGTTCTTTTCCTCACACTGTCCTGTTTTCCTGATTGTGACCTTCCTGATTGTGACCCTCCTGCGTCATCATGTGCGAGAATTCGGGCACCAAGTGTGAGGAGAAAAGCAAAAAAATCAAAAAAATGAAATAGAAAAAAATGATAAAAAAGAACGTCCGGACATTAAAAAATAGCTTTCTTCATTTTTAATGAATAAAAAAATGCTTGAAAAGCTGTCACACCGTCCAGCTAGCTCAACTCAACGGTGCAAGTGGGACTTGGCCACCGGGACCACTTGGCCGGCCGGGCTAAAAAAAAAAAAAAAAAAAAAAAAAAACCTTTTTATTTATATTTTTTATTTTAAATTTGGTAGAGAATTTTGATATAACCCTGAGGCAAAAGCGAAAGTTTACTTTTCTGCATAACATAGATTTGTTTCGGATTTATTTCATTTCGCTGGGACTTCCCTGGTCCTCTCATGGCCGGGCTGCCTGGAAAAATAGGGTGACCCGGGCGGCCCAGCTGGTAGCCTCGCGCGACAACCATTTCAGCATCAAATGTTTTTCTTTTTTCTTTCTCCAGATATTTTTTACTAGAAAGATCAGGACCTAATCTACGAGTCCTCCAATTTTCAGGATTTTCAACCCATTCTTCTGAGATGGAAAACTCGCTGAAGTTAGGGTACTCTTTCCGTTGGCCAACATGTCGTGGACTGGCAAAAATGGAAAATGAGTGAACCGAATCGGCGCGGCAACTCTTTAAGAGTCAAAACTATTTTTTTATAATTTGTTTGATATTTTTCCGAGAAAGATCACGACCTAATCTACAGGTTCCCAAAATTTCAGATTTTTCTGATTTTATTAGTTTAAGCACGATAAACCGCCGAAGTCAGTTGCTGGACTGGACCCACCGGTAGCCAATAGTCACCGCCCTTCCGAAAAACGTGGCCCTAACTCACCGGAGGCAGGTTTTTGGGTGGTGGGGGGACTGGTGGTTTACCCCTTCCACTTCGGCCATCTTTACCCCTTCTTGATCGTGAAACTAAAAACGCCCTGCATCCTTTCATCCTTTTACCTAGCTTCCCTGGTCCTAAGGGTCATACCGACCAGCCCATTCATCGGCGACGGCTCCTGTCCATGATATGACCCTGGACACTCTGATCATAATGCACCCGTCGCCGACACCATACCAAACCATATTTTACTGCCGTCCTCGTCAAGGTCTCTCCAGCCATAAGTAGCAACATTCTTTTCTTCATCAGTTACTTGTGCTCACACTTCCGCGCTCCACTGGTGTTTGCACTCTTTTATTGTCCACACCATTGCACTCTCTCTGACGTTAACGCTCTGCTGTCCATTGCACTAGGGTTTATCACTATGCACGTTCTACTGTTACCGATTTTCCATTCCTTGCCCATTCAATGGCTATGACGCCTAAGACTCACGGATATGGCAGAGGAAGGGGACATGGAGGCAGACAGGAAAGCACTTGAGAAAACCATTGATCTCACAGGGAGGAGGGGGAGGTGGTGGTAGAAGAGTAGGAGAACGGGAGAGAGGAACATCAGGCAACGTAGGCACCAAGACCGATATGAGTGAATGCTGACCCCTCGTATACGCCTATACATGCAATCAACACTACTGCTCTCTGCCACTGTCTTTTCAGGCTTTCATCCCCTTATACTCACCCTCTTCACCATCACCACCTCCTTCATTTCAACCTCCCTCTCGCCAGGTCACCTTACTCCCCTATGGTCCTAGACTCACTGTGCTTGCCACACACGTTTCACATCCACCTATCGTTTACCAACCTGTCCCTCTTTTCATAGGCGCACGTGCCTAATACTAGTCCTCTTCTTTATCCGCCATATCGAATTTTGCGGCTTCCTGTCTTTCGTGCACACTAAGCTGACCACATGTTTTCCTGGAGCACAGTGAAGTTTTACGGAAACTTTTACCGCATTCATCGACCACAGTAAGTAAGATGCACCTCGTCGAAAGATACTCGCCCCCCCGCAAACATCAATGCGGCAAACCCTGCCTGAAGATGCGGTACAATGTACAACACGAAAGGATCCAGGCAAGTAAGCACCATTTGGCCGAGCGCTGACCCACATGAGGGGATAACAAAATCTCATATGTGTTGCCTAACAATTTAACAAAACGGTGTAGTTTGTTTTCCAAGCACAGCACGTGCGGCAGACCTCCATGCAGAGACATTTTTCCAAGCAATCTCCCTTTTCATCGCTCACCCACCCACACACCGGCCCTAAAGCGATTTCTGGCACACAGGGATTAAGAAGACAAAGGATACGTTTGGTTGCAGATCAGACAACGTCCGCGATTTCAACGCGAGAAACGGAAAAATTGTCACCTATCAGGTGGGGCCTGCTTCCCCACAATTACAGCTTACAATACAACAAGTCCCAAAGAAGGACAATTATAAAAGAAGAGAAAGAAATTTAAAGAATCCATTTAAAAACGAAAAGGAAAACAGAATCCATATTACCACCCTCCATTCTGTCAAATACTGAATGCTTCAAGTCGTAAACCACTAGTACGAACCCATCCCCATCCCCTGAAACTTCCGCCGGTATACGAGGAGGCAGTGCTTTCTACACACTGGCATCGTCGGGATCGGTTCAATTCCTTTGGGCACAAAACTCTTAGGATCAACAATTTAAGGTCTGCCTCACTGGCGCTTTAAACAACACCATTAATCGGAAAAAAAACGACATCATGCCCAGAGATAGGGTGCGCCACAGGGGTTGAAACGTGGCAAAGATTCCTAATGACCTTCCATAGCCCCTGAAAGGGCTAAACTGCCCTGTGAGCTATGAGGTGGTTTAGAACCAAAATGAAATGAACTCTGTAAGCTTCTCTGTGATATCCATTATAATCCTCTCAAAATGTTACCGAGAGTGACATCACATACCAAATGATTCTATACTTCCATCAACTTTCTGTTCAACTGAAATTTATACATGTGTCAAGTGTATTATGTACAGACATCAAGATAATACACATATATATCGTCAAATAGAACTGCCCGGTAAACCGTAGGCAGAGAGGGAGAAGAGGACAACAAACGAGGGGCTGTGACAAACTGTTTCGTCGGAGTTTCACCGACTCATCAGGAGGCTATATATATATATATATAGTCATGCTATCGCATGTATATATCACCCACAGCTGCTCTCTCTCTCTCTCTCTCTCTCTCTCTCTCTCTCTCTCTCTCTCTCGCTCACTCTGTAGCGAGCGTGTGTGCAGGAATTCAACCATCAGGTCTTTCAGTTGATGACATCCAAGCATCAACCAACCTTATGGCCTCTTTGCTCTGTGGCACCTCGGTGCTTATACACAATGCCCCACTTCTGGCTTGTTGCATTCCATCCATCCTCTTCAAGTTAATGGTCAGGCATTCCAACTCATCTACACGAGCTGAATGTGTAGGCGTTGACCACCAATTCGCCCTCTTTTTCCACATGTCAGTACTCATCTCAGCTTTACCTTAAGTTCCTTGAAGCACGGCTGCCATTGGTGAAGCGTGGAACGCGATTTTTCTTTTTCCATGTGTCAGTACTCACCTCAACTTTACTATAAGTTCGTTCACAACAGTGCTCGTCTTGAGTTGATCCCCTGGTCGTAGTCATATTAAACTCATTGTGCACCAGAGTGCAACCTCATCTCGTCTCAAGAACGGATGTGAATGCAGTTCACACAAGCCATGAGGCAGCAATGCCTTCCCCTGCATCGCTACCATACTTCTTCCATCTGCCATCTCTGGAAGAGCAAGACGGTCAGCAGGAGCACTGCAAATGATAGCCACTGGAGAATCATTGCACCGACGGTTATCATGGAAGCATGGTGCAAGATGGCAGGAATTGCAATGCTTCCAACTGCTGAGAATCCTGTCAAGAATTTTGCAGCATCCTCCCACCTTCATTTCATGATGGAGGGGACAAAAAAGCAAAAAAAGTCGCCAGAACGCGGAGAGATGCACACAGGCAAAGTCAGATGGCTCGACCAGAAATACAACTAAACAGTCAATATTGCCTTTGAATGAATATAAGAATGGCAAATATTGTGAAATTCATGCGAATTCGGAAAACAAAAAACAGCAAGTACGCAAGCAATGGTTTTTCGACGTGTTTGTTATGGGGGGCGTAGCACCCAGGGAGGGAGGGGACTGGACCGCTTTGATGGGGGGTCCCCACTTTCAGCTCCAGACTAACAGGTCCAAAACTGAAATTAGGGTTTGGGGGCCGGATTTTATGGTTATCGAGTTTTTATTTATTTGACTGTTTCTGTTTCGGTTTAAGGTGTTGCTGTGTGCCAGATTTGGTATCATTTGGAGCATTGGAATTTCCTCTGCTGAGATTTCTGAAATTTTTGTCAAGATTTCTGAAATTGGAATGTTGGTGAAATTTCATTAAAGTGCACTTTTGCGGCTTTTTGCCTTGCATAACCCCTCCTCTCCTTCAGGACCTTCCCACCAACTCGCTAATGCTGGCAGGCTATGGAGATTGGCGCCAACCTTCTTCGACCTCCTGATCTGACCAATAGCAGCTACAGTACAACACCGCCCAGGCAAGTCAAGGTATAACCTCTCCTCTCCTTCTCTCTCTCTCTCTCTCTCTCTCTCTCTCTCTCTCTCTCTCTCTCTCTCTCTCTCTCTCTCTCTCTCTCTC